GTGAAAGCTCTTTTTTTGTAGTATTTACTAGAAATTTTTTCCTCTCTTTCTTTTCTTAGTCCATTTTTTTTGTTAATGCCTGGAACACTAATTATTTTGCAATGGCAATTTGTATGATATTAATTTCTATTTGTATTTCTCACTTTTTAAAGCCCCGGGCTTTGCAACATTTCAAAATCAGGGAATTACGATAGGAATATGTGCTACTCGAGAACAATTAACAGATTTAGTCCCTCTTTTCTATTAAATCGGTCATAATACATACTCCTATATGTCACAAAAATAGTACACCATAAGTAGGAGCTAATGAATAGGCCCACAATTCTACATAAAGACATCATGACCCCCTATGGAAAAAAAAGAAATCTTAAGATGAAAGTATAGATATAATATTCTTAGCTTGATAACTGGAAGTCCTTGCCGACAAGAATCCTATAGTTAATCTATAAAAAGAATACATGCCAAGAAAAATTACCCCTTTTTCAAGAACCTTTGAGAAGGTCTACCTATACGTGTTCGAATCATCAATTCATATTAGATATACTAAATCGAGGAGTGATTCGAATGAAATTGAGAAAAATAAGCTAAGTAACTTTGATATTGATTTTGTTTATTCTGAAATCGCCTTCACCAATTTTTTGTTTTTCCTATGAGATATTGATTTTCTATTCAAAAAATATTCGTTGATTCAATTAAAATAACTATAAAAAAACTCGCTACCCGGAATTCCAAAACCATAACTGCTACATGGGCTGGCCCATTACAGAACGTAGGCTAGAGAGGTGGAGTTACGTACCAAAACGCGTATTCAGCGCTATAAGCGCTGAATTGGAAATTCCGGGCTCAACAAATATCCTTCCTTGAAACTAGAGAAAGAAAGCCATGGCCCGTTCAGAAAGGAAAGCCTGCGCCCGTGACTGGGGTTGCCGGTGGCAATGGGGGTTCGCAGCCGCCGCCGTCGCAAGAATGGTCGGAGGGACGCGTCGCCGGCGGCCACGCACCGCCTTCCCGACGAGCTGATCGAGTTAGTATTCCTGCGCCTCCCTTCCTCTCTCCAACTCGTCCGTGCCGCTTGCACCTGCAAGCAGTGGCGCCGCGTCGTCGCCGACGGCGGCTTCCTCCGCCGATTCTGTTCTCTCCACCCGCACGCCCCCGTCGTCGGACGCTACCGCGTCGAAGATCGCACGTATGCGTTTCCGCGTCCACCTGGCTGCAACCCCGTCTTCTTCCCCTCGTCGCCCTCGCCACCGGCGGACGCCTTAGACGCGCGGCACTTCTCGCTCGATTTCCTCACGGACGGCGCTGGTGCAGACTGGGAGCTCGCCGACAGTCGGAACTTCCATTGTTGACCAGCATCCACTACGCAGGGCACGCATCAGACTGGATCTACTGGATGGTGACCGCAGACCACAGTTTTCTTGTACTCGACAAGGACACCGCAGAGTTCTCCATTTCCTGTTTCCCGGACGACATGTGCACTGTGCCAGACGAGGCCACCAGGATCCGGGTCGTCGGCGGCGAGGACGGTGCTGCGGTGCACATCGCCGTCCTGACCAAATACTTCCTGGAGGTCTTCGTGAGCGGAAGACAGCGGCAAATGGGTGTCGAAGACAAGGTTCTCATTGTCGCAGGCGATTCGTGAGCTGTTTGGGGACAAGATCAAGAAACCTCACATCACCGTCACTTGCTGAGTATAAAGTGTAATATCATAGGCATAGTGTCGGTCTATAGGACTCTACTGTCGCGGTCTATAGGACTCTACTGTCGCCGATTTGTCGTTTTTTTCCATTCATTTTGTCAGACTTTCCGTGTTGGGCTGTGTGCATCCTAGTTATGCAGAGGCCGGGTGTTACTCATAATGTTTTGTATCCGCTTGATGCTACATTTCGAGATAATAAAAGCGCCCTTTATCGAAAAAAAATAGTTCACTCTGCTATTAGTTCAGATTTCAGAGAACCTTGCATGGCAATATAGAGTGTAACATAATGAGCTTATTGGATGATTTACCACCGATTGTTGTAGGAATTACCAGTAAGCATCATTTACTAGTATTTCAGATCACTTGGTGACTTGAATTGGTAAAACATTATCTGAACTGTTAGGAGGTGAGCATTTACCAAAGAATAGGACTTGGGGGGTGGCGTGCGCCCCACTGCCTTAGGGAATGAACTCCCCAGCCCCTTTTTACTCTGTTTCTTTTCCTCCCATCACTTCACCGTGATCGAACCAGTTCTCTGAACTCAAGTGGTGCTGATATTACCCTTCCGATCACCATTGAGCTTCTAGGGATGTCGCCGTTTGATCACCTTTGCCCCTTCCCCTTCCTGCTCCACCGGGTCAGAGTTCCGTTCGCTCCAAAAGAGTTAAGACCAGAGAGAGAACACCTGCATTAGAAATTTTTTATCCTGTATTTCCAAAGCACTCAACTTCTCAAGCTTCTTATTGGTCATGTAAACCAGACATGATAATATGATCACATGAAACAAGCTGTTTTGTCTTGGGTTCTCCAGTGGTGTTGATCCCTTGGTTCCTTCGTATTTCCAAGACTCTTCTGCTTTCAGCAACAAAGCAGGCTAAAATGCATTGTCTCCCGCTTCATTTGTTGGATCATCTTTTCTTTAAGCGCAGTCTTGCAAAATTAGTTTGGCAAGTGGTTGTGTGTGCCTTTTTTTTTGCGGGAGGTTGTGTGTGCCTTTGATCTGGCTAGACCTCATGAAGGGGTTTCTGATATGCTGGGAACTTGGCTCTATTCTTTCGCTAGAAACCAGAGGCATCTGGTTCTTAGGGGAGGTGTGACAATTTGGTTGTGTGCATCCTGTGATGCAGAGGCTGAGGCTGGGGTAACCCCTTTCCGAAAGAAAAAAAATCTGGAACACAAGAGACAGTGCATGTTTTGATTAAGAATTCCTGATGATCCTGCAGCTGTTATTTTTAGCCGGTGTCACTTAAAACTTGGAGCATGTTGCAGAAAAAACAAGACAAAGAGAAAACTGAAGAGGGAGCTCTGAAGATCAAGATGGTGCTGGGAGAGGCGCATGGTAGGGGGTATGGCTGGAATCCTATATGGCTAAGAGGATCTGCTGTTGATGGGCTCTGTTTATGCTTGATCTCTGTTCTATGTGTGCTCTGGCATGAGCTTCCCAGGCTTGCTTGTTGTGATCTCAAGCCATATTTACATGAGTGTTTTGCCTGTGGGTTTGTGAGCTCGAAACTAGTCTCTTTTTTTTTTTTTGCGGGATCAAAACTAGTCTGTTTGCTCTTGGGCCCGATCTGGCCGTGGTCTTGCTGCCCGCGTGCAGTTGATGTTTTGCCTGATGTGTTTCAGGCTTGCTTTATCTCTGTTTCTACTTCATGCAATAACTTTGTGGCGGGTTTCTTTAATGGAAATCGACGAGGTGGCTCGTTGTTTTTTAAAAAACTGCATGTTGTTTACAAGTCTTTCTGAGTTCCGCTGTTTGTAGTCTTTGTCCACAAAGCAGAGACGCACCATTTGGCCTGAGTGTAGGCATGCACCATTTGGAGTGGTCCATGCGTGTGAAAACATGCACAAAGCCGGAAAAGGCATTGCCTCTCGATCATATGCTCATAGTATTTGTTTTTTCATTTTGTGTTTTGTTGCTTTTCACCATCATTGTTCAGCGATGGCTGCGCAGGCCCTCTCATCTCATTGGCCGCCGAGGAGACCAAAATGTGCAGGAGCAGCAGCAGCAGCAGCTCCACGAACCCTAGTGGTGCAGTCGTCTACTAGTGGATGCACCTTTTTTTTTTGAAGAGGAGATTCGTGGAGCCCAGGGGCATGAAGTTCTAAAGATTCATCATGGTGTCATCATCTCAATGGGCATCCATGCATTTCCTAGTAACATTCAGGGTGCATGTTTCTCGTTCCTGAACTTTACTCCATCTGTATGCAGAAAACATAACAGCTCCGTCTGCATACACATTCAGGGTGCAAGATGGCTCTGGATCAGAAAGGGCAAGGAAGCACATCCATGCATGGTCGGTGCAAAAACCAGAGAAAGCAACAGAAAACAGAAAGGGCTAAACACTGATTAAACACACGCCATGGCAGTGGCACCATGTCAACTCATCCAATGACAGGTTGCAAAATTAGATCTAGGTACACCGGTCCTAGCAAGGACATGTGTGCCACTGGGAAGCTAAGACAGTTATGTGTTCTACTGAACATAGGCTTCAGAACTGCATCCCAATAAATTTCTTTGTCCCTATAAGTTTGTGTACAGTTTACTTGTCCTGGCGACCAATGATTTAGGAGCTGCAAAGGCAGGTGAAACTTCTGATCCGTAGTCAAGGGGAGGCCAAGGAGTACATAAAGGCAATGCCATCTCCAGCTTATGCTATGTTGTTACTACAGCAGCCATGGGTACTGGAGACTGTATCAGAGTTTGCTTTACCAGCACAATCAAAAGGAAAACCGACCAAAAAGAAGAAACGAGAACAACAGTCAACAGGGACACCGAAATGCAATCACTACCGCCAAAGCACCAAGCACTAGTGCTGGTAACAGAGCTATCAAAGCATGCTTTAGATGGGACTTCTAGACTTGTACTCCTGTTATGGTTCATGAGTGCTTCATTCAGCCCACTGAGCATGGCAGCATCTCCATAAGCTGTTCCAAAGCATCTTCACGATGAAAAAGGCTGTGTGAAAAAGAAACAAAGTGCACTTTCAGTGCTGGAAATGGAGGCAACAAAAGTTACAGCCAGTCACCACAAAAGCATCAAGCATTCTTTGCAACAACATCGGATCTCTGTCACAGATTGGTTGACAGCAACTGCACATTTCATTCATTCATTCAGAGCAAAAGGTTAGCTTCCAAGCTTTTGAGTTTACCAAAGTGCAGTTCTAAATGTTCAGAACAAACTACTACTAGCTGCTATCAGCAGTGCACTTCTTAAGGTCTGATATGACTCCTAGTTAACGGTAATAAGTACATGATCCAAGAAGTGCACAAAATTAGCATTATTCCTATCCATGGTTCTTCAGAGAGAAGGGGCCACCTCCTCCTTCGCCTTGGGCTTGTTCTGTCCCCCAACCTCTTGCAGCATCTTCACCACAGCCCTCATCGGTGGACGTTTGGTCGGGACGGTGTTGACGCACAGCAGGCCGATGTTCAGAACCTTGCACATCTCATCATGGGACTGGCCAACAAGCCTGTGATCAAGAACAGACTCCGCACCATGCTGATCGACATTGTCGCAAACCCAGACCACCAGGTGCTTCTCGCCGATCTCTGGCGCCATGGGCCTCTTGCCGGTGACGAGCTCCAGAATGACCACGCCAAAGCTGTACACGTCGCTCTTCTCGGTTACATGGAGGGTGTAGGCATACTCTGCAATGCACAAAGGAACAAAATCACACACACGGTCCTTTCTTAAAATATGGAGTACAAGGTTTTAGCAGTGCCACCAGTGCACAAGAACAAAGTTACAAAATAATTATGCAGAAAATGTCATGTAAATGTAGCTTTCAACAAGGGAAAAACTGCATGTAACATTTTTTATGACGTTTTAAACATGCTAGAAGCAAATCAGGCATCAAGAACTCACCAGGAGCAATGTAACCACAGGAGCCAGCGATGACTGACATGGTGGCCGGCCCATTCTCAATAGTCTTTGCAACACCAAAGTCCGCAACCTTTGCGCCGAACTCCGCATCGAGCAAAATGTTGTTCGACTTCACGTCCCGGTGGACGATCGAGGGCACGCAGTCATGGTGCAAGTAGGAGAGGCCCTCGGCGGCATGGACCGCGATCTTATACCTCGTTGGCCAATCCAGGATGCCGGCTTTGGCACTGTGGAGGAAGTCCCCCAGGCTGCCATTCGGCATGTACTCGTAGACAAGCAGCCGGCAGGTGCCGTTGGTCACGCAGCAGAAGAGCTTGACGATGTTCTTGTGCCTGACATTGCTCAGTGTGGCCACCTCAGCCTCAAAAGTATCGTTCCTCTTCTTCTTGCTTTCGACGTCGCTGTCCCAGAGCTTCTTGACAGCCATGGCCTCACTGCTAGGCCCAACAACCACCTTGTACACCTTCCCTGCCGCACCCTTGCCGATCACGTTGTTCTCGTCGAGGCTGTTCACTATGTCCATCTCACTGAACTCCACCTTGTGGAAGGATGTGAGGTCCCAACTTGACTCGACAGCACTGATTTCAGCGGCACGCTTCTTGTAGCTTCTGTACTTGTAAGTGAACCATGCTAAACCCATGAGCAGGACGATGGCAGATGCCGCGAGGATGGAGACGATCAGGTGGACTCTGGCGGCTGGGATGGCACCGTGGTCGTCGTTGCCTGCGCATACCCCATGGCACAGGCCGGGGTTACCCAAGAAGCTCTGCTGGTACGTGGCACTGAAGAAGAGAGGCAGAGGTCCACTGAGCTTGTTATACGACAGGTTGAAAGCAGAGAGCACGAGATTCTGCAGTTGCACGGGCACCTCGCCGGAGAGCTCGTTCTCCGACAAGTCCAGCGAGTTCATCCGGTGGATTTCCCCGAGCTCTGGAGGGATCGTCCCGGCGAGGTGGTTGTGCGAAAGGTTCAGCACTGTCAGCTGCTTCAGCTGTCCAATCTTCCGTGGGATCTCCCCGGAGAGGGAATTGTTGCTCAGGTCGAGCTGGGATAGCTCAGAAAGCTCGACGAGCGACGGCGGCACCGGACCGGAGAAGTTGTTGTCTGATGCAAGAAGCCTTCGCAGCAAGGACAAATTCCCCAGCTCGGCTGGCAGAACGCCGGTGAATCGGTTGCCCTGTATGAGCAGGTCGAACAGGTTCTTGGCACCGCCAATGGCAGGATCGACCGTGCCGGACAGAGCATTGGAACGAAGCTCGAGCATCTGGACAAGAGGAAGCGCCCAGAATTCCGGCGGCACGGACCCGGAGAGGCGGTTGTTCTGCAGCCGGACCCTCGTCAGTGTCCGGCATTGCCCGAACTCCGCCGGAATGGCGCCCTCGAACTGGTTGTCCAGCAGCATGAGCTGCGCCAGCTTCCCTGAAGCGCACAGCGTCGCCGGGATTGGTCCCGACATACGGTTGTCCGACATGTCCAGGAACCCGAGGGGGCAATGCTTCCCGAACTCCGGCGGGAACGGCCCCTCGATCTGGTTGCCGAACATCCTTAGATCGGCAAGACGCGTCGCCGCCCCCAGCGACGCCGGCAAGCGCCCGGTCAGGTTGTTCTGATAAATGTGCACGCTCTCCAGGCTTGGCGCGGCGAAAATGTCCTCCGGTATCTCGCCGGTTAGCCGGTTCATGGAGATGTCCAAGAACCGGAGCTTCTTGAGACCCCCCAGCCCCACCGGTATCCTCCCGGAGAGCTGGTTCTTGTAGAGCTCCATCTGGACCAGAGAACTCAAATTCCCAATGCTCCTGGGTATCTCGCCGGAGAGGGCGTTCATGGAGAGGTCCAGATTGACGAGATTCCCGAGGTTTCCGATGGAAGGAGGGATTTTACCGCTCAGGGAGCAGTTGGCGAGAAACAGCTCCCGGAGGTCGGCGAGGTCGCCGAGCTTCTCCGGCAACGGCGACGGCGTGAACGCGTTGTAGGCGAGCAGGAGCTCCTGGAGGGTGCTGATTTTGGCCAGGAACCAGGGGAACTCGCCGGAGATGGAGTTCTGGACCAGGTTGAGCACGACGAGCGACCGGAAGCCGCCGCCGTAAGCCGGCGGGACCTCGCCGGAGAAGCCGTTCCCGGCGAGGGTGAGGTTCAAGAGTGCAGGGAGGGCGGTGAGGCAGGCGGGCAGAGGGCCCACTAGGTCGTTCTGGGAGAGGTCGAGGTGCTGCAGGGACCTCAACGAGCAAACCGAGGCCGGGAAGCCGCCGGCGAGGGAGAGCTTGACGAGGTAGAGCCCGGCCACGGCGGTGGATTTTCCGGCGCACAACACGTGCGGCCACGCGCAGAGGGAATGGCTGGACCCGGCATCCCAGACGGAGAGGGCGCCGGCGGGGTCAGAGAGCACAGCCTTGGCGGCGAGGAGGTAACTGGCGTCGTCGAAGGCGGCAATCGGGAGTGGGAGTAGAACTAGGAGGCCGACGAGAGGAAGGAGGAGGAGAAGGAGGCGGTGGAGCGCAGCCATGGTTGTGGGCTTGGTGGGTGGAGAGAGTGGGGAGTGTGGGCAGAGGGGTTTTAAGGAGGGAGTTACAGGATTGGAAGGCTCCCTGGTTTTGTCAGCGCATTGTAGTAGTGAGATCATTGGGGAAGGAGAGTGGATCTTGGCTAAGGGTACCAAATGAGGTACCCGGCATGACCCGAGCCTCTGACTCCTATTGACGAGTCATGCACACTTTGACACGTGTTTCTCAAATTGAGTAACGCGTGTCGGAGAGGGTTCATGCCATTGGTTGGCTTGAACTCCTTGTGAGCCAACGTATTTTGTTGTGTTCGAGTGGAATTGAGTAACATATATCGGAGGCAGTCTTAAATGCCTATGTTCCAAGGAAATGGGGAGCAAAAAAGGTTGTGCCATTGGTTGGCTTCAACTCTTTGTGAGTAGTTGTGTTTTATTGTGTTCAGATGATGCCAAATGCGCACACCGTTGGCTTGCCGTTATAAAGATGATATGTGTTGGCCATATGCTTCGACTTTGAATATCTTCTTTAAAGAACCAAGGAAGTTATCGACAAACTGGTTGACAAAAGTTGAGTTGCATGGACATGTCAAAATGACAATGGTTAATATATCCATCTAGATATTTCTTAAATAGATATTCTACGCTACAAGGGCAAGGGTCATCATATAGTGACTATATTATCACACAATATTTCAAAATAAGCTAAGAATACATTTGAAATAAGTCATTTTTCCTCGTATTCATCTTGAATTGAGTAACATCATCGGATGTGATGATGCCATTGGCTGGGTCAGCTTATCTTGTTGTGTTTAGATCGCGCCAAATGCTATTGTACACCAACTAGCCATTACTGAGATTATATGTTTGGCGCTTTGGATAACTTCTTTTGAAGAATCAAAACAAAGTTATTGATAGACCAATTGATGCCACAAAGTTGAGTTCTACAAACATGTCAAAATGATGGCATTCAACTTATTTTCCAGCCAGATACCCCTCAAATAGATCTACTACGCTGCAAAAAAATTCCACTAAAAGTACCACCATATACTAGCTATTTCACCGTGCAATATATCAAAAAGCTAATAACAAATTAAAAAATCATTTTTCTCCTTTTCAGTTGTCATGCTCAAATCATGTTGAAGTGAAGACATATTGACGCACATCGGTTAATGATATGATTTGTGTTTGTAATGTGATCACCGAATTTGGAGTTATTTGAATAAACAAAATAAACATAACTACTAAAATATATTACCTTGGGGAAAACATAGGACACGGAAAAATTACAACAGTTGACAAAATTTCACCAAATTATTTCTCAGATGTGGAGTTTGTGCCACCACTTTTCTTGTAAAGCTTAATACAATGGCTATTATTATGAATTAATACCTACATTAATTTATTGGTCTTTTATCATACAATTATTTGAGATAAAATAAGAATGCACTCAAATAATACTTGTTCTCCATAAAAAGAGTAATATATGTGGGTAGTTTTCTTCTTCTCAACTTTGTGTTGGAAGAATACGGTATTATTTTAGGGGAAAACAAAGACAATTCTATGTTCAAAGGTATGATATGGTCTATCAGTTGTTCCAAATGTATCCAGTTAGCATAATAAATACATGTATACCTTCACAAAAAATTGTATAAACAACCAACTTCACTATAAATGTATCCAGTTAGCATAATAAATACATGTATACCTTCATAATATATGTATCGGTGCCCCCAACTTTCAAACCCAAATGGAGGGAGTAGAATGAATGTAGAATCTCCCGCCTTACTGGCACGGAAGACGAGAGGGCAGTAGCATTGGGACCTAAGAGCATGGTGCACGCGTAGAGGCTGGCTCTTGCATGAGAGCCCACTCCTTCACCTTTTCCTTATCTCTCTCCTCTACATAGACAAAAGTGCCATATAAGCTTGCTTTTATCCCACCATTGTACTTGCTATGAACGGACGCCTTATGGTATTACTAGTGATTAATACCCATGATTAATACGGCGTGAAATTTGAGCGGTACTCCCCCTCCTTGCAAAAACTGACTAATTCGTGATTAATGCCCCGTGAAATCAGTCAACGAACACACATAAAGAGGCTATCATGGACCCGCATGAGGGAGGAGAACATTGGAACTACTTTGTTATCACAGGAACTAATGCACATGCATGCAGGCATGATATAATAGTTGCCAAAACATATGTTTGATCCGTTGGAGCGGAGAGGGGAGGAGAGTGAACATAAGTGGGTTGTAGATTGGAGCAAGTGTAATAGAGTGAAATAAGTGGGCTATAAGAGTTTCCACCTCATATTTTTAATGAGGTTGAGGGGAGAGAAGAGGAGTTGGTTGTAAACTTTGGCCAAGTGCAACACAAACTTCAATACACACTACACTAGATTAGGCGTACTGGGACAAGCCAAAAATGTCATTGAATAGCTAATAACATCATAGATTACTCCAAAGTGACGTTTTATGGGCATCATGAGCATCGTCATGGAATCCCCGTCATGGATTACTCCTAGTGAACGCACACAGAAAATGGGACCTTCGGTGACATTTTTGAAGGAAATATGCCCTAGAGGCAATAATAAAGTTGTTATTTATATTTTCTTATATCATGATAAATGTTTTTATTCATGCTAGAATTGTATTAACCGGAAACTTAGTACATGTGTGAATACATAGACAAACAGAGTGTCCCTAGTATGCCTCTACTAGATTAGCTCGTTAATCAAAGATGGTTAAATTTCCTAGCCATAGACATGTGTTGTCATTTGATGAATGGGATCACATCATTAGAGAATGATGTGATGGACAAGACCCATCCGTTAGCTTAGCACTATGATTGTTTAGTTTATTGTTATTGCTTTCTTCATGACTTATACATGTTCCTATGACTATGAGATTATGCAACTCCTGAATACCGGAGGAACACTTAGTGTGCTATCAAACATCACAACATAACTGGGTGATTATAAAGATGCTCTACAAGTGTCTCTGATGGTGTTTGTTGAGTTTTATAGATCGAGATTAGGATTTGTCACTCCAATTGTCGGAGAAGTATCTCTGGGCCCTCTCAGTAATTCACATCACTATAAGCCTTGCAAGCAATGTGACTAATGAGTTAGTTACGGGATGATGCATTACGGAACAAGTAAAGAGACTTGCTGGTAACGAGATTGAACTAGGTATGATGATACCGACGATCGAATCTCGGGCAAGTAACATACCGATGACAAAGGGAACAACGTATGTTGTTATGCGGTTTGACCGATAAATATCTTCGCAGAATATGTAGGAGCCAATACGAGCATCCAGGTTCCGCTATTGGTTATTGACCGGAGATGTGTCTCGGTCATGTCTACATAGTTCTCGAACCCGTAGGGTCCGCATGCTTAACGTTGGATGATGATTTGTATTACCAGTTTATGTGATTTGATGTACCGAAGGTTGTTCAGAGTCCCAGATGAGATCACGGACATGACGAGGAGTCTCGAAATGGTCGAGACATAAAGATTTATATATTGGAAGGCTACATTCGGACACCGGAATGGTTCGGGTCGAGACATAAAGTACCGGGGGTTACGGGAACCCCCCGGAAGTTATTGGGCCTCATGGGCCTAGTGGTGGAAGAGGGGAGGCAGGCCAAGGTGTGGTGCCCCCGCCCAAGCCCAAACCGAATTGGACAAGGGCTAGGGGGCTGCCCCCCTTTCCTTCTCTTCTCCCTCTCTTTCTCCCCTTCTCCTTGTGGAAGTAGGAAAGGGGGGGGGGGGCGAATCCTACTTGGAGTAGGACTCCCCCCCTTGGGCGCGCCTCCTCCTTGCCGGCCTCCTGTGTAACATCCCAAATTTCCAATTTGGATTGTTATACAAAGGTCATCATATGCATATCATATTTTATTTGCAATTTGGCTTTGTGATCCCAAAATCCTAAGCGACTCAAGGACCCCCGGAGAGAGTTGGGGATTTTATAGTTTTCATATTTGAATTTTCTCAAATATTGAAAAGTGGATCATTTTGGTTTTATTATTTTTCTCTCCGAAAATATTTCATATAAAAATATATGAGAGGAGATAATATGACTTCTCCAAAATAAATGAAATATTGGAGGGAAAAATATTAAAATCAAATAAATTATTTTATTTGATTTTTGTTACTATTTTATTTGAATTGGAAAAATATGCATTTTTCAAAATTCCATTTTTAGGCCAAGAACATGTTCACTTTGTTCTAAATATTTTATTTAGATGGTGAAAATTTGTTTTGGCATTTTTAGATTTTTATTTTTATTTATTTAGGATTTTTCTCGCTGGAATCTTTAAAAAAATGTTCCACACCGACTAGGCCGAAGCCTACTCGGCCCACTCCCGCGCCGCCGTCCCTGTTGTCCCCGAGCCGGACTCCATGAGGAGTCCGACGCCACCGCCACCTCGTTGCCCCCTCCCGCACGCCAGCCCCCCTCGGGCTTTAAAGGCCGAGCCCCGTCGCCGCCCGACCCCCACACCACCCCGCCTCCCGAGCTGCGCCACCAGCCCCGCCGCCCGCCGCGCCGCTGCCGCCGCCGAGCTGCTGCTGCCCCGCCGAGCCGCCGCTGCCTGCTGCCTCGCCGGAGCCGCTGCCGGTCCGATCCGATCTGCCCGGTTTTTTGGTTTTTAGGTAAATTCGCTGGTTTTTCTTTAAAACCCTAGATGCGTTTTTTTCGGTTTTCGTCGGTTTATTTATTTAGCGCACGTTCGTCCGTTCATTCGTTTTAACGAACATTGTTCGCCGGTTAGGTTCAGACAGCGAATGTTCATTCGTTAGTCTTTTTATTTTATTTTATTTTTGGCTAGGGACCTGTCCGCGATTATTTTTATCACACATTAACCCCTGATCTTCAAACCCTCGCCGTTTCTTAACCATTTGTCCAAATCCAGTGAAACCAACGCCGAAATCTTTGTCTCGAACCCCTCCCTCTTTATAATCAACTTGAACAAGGTTTTGACAAATTTAAAATTTGGTTTCAAGAAGATTTGTTTTCGAAGTTCTTTTGACCGTAGTTTCAGTTTCGTAGCTCCGATTCGATCGGTTCTTTTTGCAAATCGAACCTCTTCAATTGAACTTTCAGTTTGGATCTTGTTA